CCGGAAAGCAGGTCACATCTACAGAAGAGGTTCGAACAATTTTTGAAACCCACCACTGAGTGAGATGATATGTAGCCATAACAAAATTCTTTCTAGAAAACCAAGGTCATCCTTTGTCTTTGCACCTCTGCACCTGACTGGAACTGGATGGGTAGAACTGCCAGCATACCAATGGAACATTGGACCATGTGATGGACTTGTGAGTGTTGGGGCAAGATCTTGAACTTTCAACTGGGCGGGAAAACCCTAGAAGCTTTAGATTCGAGTTTTCCCAGATGTGCCAACATGGCTCTCTTAATAAATTGGAACTTTGAGCAATACTTTGCCTTGGACTCCGATTTAATTTTGGATGCTATTTGGAACCCTGACATCCACAGGTTTACAGTTCTTCAGAGACAACATTCTGATGATAAGTTAGCTTGATTTCTCTGCTGGAGAAACATATTGAATTTGGGAACAAAAATCCCCCCCCCCCCCATGGATCACAGGAAAAAAATGAATCAAGACAACAAGGCAAAAATATTTAGACAAGAACTCCAAAAAGATTTTTTTTCTCCTTATTTTTTTTTTTGGCACAAAGGGGAAAAGAGACTCCCTTCTGCTTTTAATAACTCAAAACAAATAGAAGTTAGAATGCATTGACTCAACATTGATCCACAAAAGGTTGATGAACAAAGCCAAATCCCTCCATTTCCCCCTCTTACCACCCACAGGAAACAATGAAAAGGTAGAAAGTAAAATGGCTGAAGAAGTAAACAAAATGTAATGATGTTCATCTCCTTTTCAAGCTTCACATTGGTCAGTTCATCCACGTCACTTATTGTGACTTGTCGAGTTCAAAACTAAGATCTTGGAAATTAAGTTGGACACTTCTTCTTTTTCTTCTTCTAGTCTTGATGCTGAACAAGCTTTGGGTTTTTGTGTGTTGTTGTTGTTGTTTCTTCCATACAGTATATATAAATATACATATATATATATGGAGAGAGAGAAACTGTGTTTTTTAAAATGGTGGGAGTTTTTTTCCCCTCAACACTACAAGTCATGCTCTTGGTCGTTGTAAATTATACGTGAAACGCCAATTGTGCAGAAATATAGCAAATGCAATTTAGGTCTTATAGGATGGACATGGCAAGGTGAACAGCTTGACGTTGCTACTTGGGATTTGTAGATCCGGGATATCCTTGTTTCAAAACATATTACTGGCCAGAAGTCCCACTTACTCGATTTGCTAAATATACATAAATGTCTCTATATACAGCTGGAACCCCTAAGCCTTTTCCTTGCTGGAGGAAGACCGGCAGAGGAAATGGCCAGGGGTAGCACATGGAGGCATAACAGTGGCCTTCGAAATGTACAGAAGGAACCATGGTTTGTTGGAGGGAAGTGACAAAAAACGAAGGGAGGGGAATCGGTACAGATATTTACAATACAAGATGCTCCTTGCTAACTAGAACTGTATAGCCCTGTTCAACAGAAAGAAAGCGTTATTTAATAAGCTCTGCTATCTGAGAATCGACATATTTATGCCCTTGAGGGTAGAATCATCCCAGTGAAGTTGAGACTGGATTGCTGAATTCAACAAGTCAGAACTGACTTGTTCTAAGATATACTTGAATTAGCAGCTTGGGCTAAGTAAAGGTGATTATTGAAACAAGCAGAATAAAACCCCACCTCTTATGCCCAAGCCAGCGAAAGAGATTCATGCACACAATGGAGGTGGGTTTGCAGGTGGACTTAACTGATGACCATACTCCTTATATCATCACTTGCACTGCTTTTCACGCTAGACATGAGTCCCTGTTCCTTCTTACACGTACTGCAGTCCCAAAAGGACGTGGCATCCAGAAATCTACAGGTATAAAAATGGAATTTTTTTTAGGGAGGATAAGAGGAAAAACACAGTGTTCCTACAACATTTTTCTTTTTGCCAAAAGAAAAGAAAGAAAAAAAAATCCTAAGCAAAACTTTCCATTTTGTGTGTGTGTGTGTGATTGAAATAAAAAAATGAAACTTGCCTTGGGGTAAAATGGATATTGGATTTATAGCTGGCTCATTTCCTTGGGACTAAAAGGGAATTTAACTAACTTTTATCCTGGGATCAATACATGGGTTAAGATTCATCACAGCCGAACAGAAGGTTTTGATTCCATCTGTCTGATCAACAGCATCTCTCTTTTTTATTTTTTTGATCCCTGGTCCATAATGAAGTCCAATCCAGAATTGTTTTCTATCAACACTGTGTAAGAATGCAACTGGAGCAAAAGAATGCTTTTTCCTGTGCCTTTTTCAGAGGCCTTCCCTGATCGTCATCTTCTTTTAACGACCCCATAATCCCTCGCGGGGTGGAGTCTGGGCAACTGAATGGAGCTAGCGGAGTGTTTTGATGGCCAGATGCCCTTCCTGTTGCCAATGCGGAGTTTTGTTCAGCAGATATATTCCCATTGTGCCTAGAGACAGAAATACGTATCTGCCTCTACCTAGGATCGAACTAACAGCCTCCTGATTTGTGAGGCGAGAGCTCTAGCCACCGCACCACTCGGAGGCCTTCACCAATGACATTTCAAAAAGATTTTCATGGGGATAAGATATAAAGCTGCTGGACGGAGGCGCCATTCTTTCCCCCCTTCCTTTTCAAAGCAGAATTGTTCCCTGGAAACAAAACCACATCATCCTTATTCCTTTTGTGCTTTTCTCAAAAATAATAATAATAATAATAATTGGAGACCCAGAGAGCCATGTCTCACTTCCGCCAGAAAATCTTCAACTGAAAATGCCACTTTGCTGCTTCCTCCTCCCTTTGCCACTGACATTTTGAAAATGAAATATGCTAAAGTTAGACTTGGATAATGATAATCCCACCTAAGCAAATCCGTAGGAAATATATTCTAGTTTTTTTTTTGCTATAAAATGATAAATGATCGATCAAAAAAAAAATCATGCTGATCTTAAATTAATTTTAAAGAGCATTCTGCAAACGGTGCTCAACGTCATCTACCATTATAGATTTATATAATTAAATCATTTTTAAAGTTAAAATTCTTTCTACAGCATACATTTAAGCTTCAATCTTAAACCTCTCCAGAGCGCTTCACTTTAAAGAAACTTTTCAAGTTAGATGGGCAATTGATTGGAGATTCCATTGGGTCTAAACAGAGATGAAATTTAATTAAGGTACAGTCCACAAGGTAAGCAACAAAACCTAATCTATCACATCTTAGGAACAAGGGTATTTTGGTTCACAGATCAGTAAGAGTATCAACAAGTTCTTTTCTCCTTACCACACACAGAGACACACTCACACAATCTTGTATTTATGTAGAACAATTCAAGTGGACTGCGTCTTCTCACTCAAAACAATTCCAGATTACAACATATTGTTTTCTCTTTAAATAGACAAATTCAGGTTAAATTTAGCAAATTAGAAACCTAGCCAACATTTCCGCCATCTATCAAAAACTGGTTTCTTTAAAAAAAAACACACACACACAGGTAAACAACCAAATCTAGGCAAATAGCAAATTGTCTCCGGTTTTCCACATAAAAGCTTACTCTTAAGAAATCTTCTTGGTTTACATCTTCACTACGTGATGTGTAACCCTCTACGGCAGATTTGATAGACAACAAAATTTTGCTAATAATGTACTGAAGTAAAGTGGGAGACTGCATCTTGTCAAATGCAAATATTTGCACTGTTTCTGAAAAAAGTGGGGAAAGCTTCAATCTGACATATCTGTACAAGGCTGTTGGTTTGAGCTCTGAGCTTGGCAATTTGGTTGCAAACGTTTCATCATAGACAAAACATGGCAGACGAGCACAACTCAAAATGCACTGACGATGTCCCCTCAAATAGTGACGAAATGTTTGCAACCAAATTGCCAAGCTCGGCGCTCAAACCAACAGCCTAACTACCAACCCAAGCTACTAATATTCAAAAACACTTCAAATATCAGCACAATTCTGACCGGATGGAAGGTGGAAAGTCTTTCAAATTGCTGTTCTGGATTCAGACAGGTTAATTAAAATTTAATCATATCTACAATATACTCCTTGATATGATGGAACAGCATCAGGCTGTCTTGTTATCCAATTCATTTCAAGAGTCTATCCAAAGCACCCTACTTGGTTGATCCAGAGCCTATCACACTCTCTCAAATCCAGGAAGGAAGCAAAGGCAAAAACTCATTGAACCTAACCCTAATCCTTGCCAAGAAAACTACAGGAATTTGTGCAGGAAGTTGCCAGAAGTCATAAACTGACTGAAAGACACAAAAATAAAACCAAACTCTAAACATAATTAAAATGGAAGCAAACAAATAAACTATAGACTAAGCAATTTACAAAATTACATAGTCTAGAAAACTAAAAGTTCAGAGAAAATCTTATATCTCACCTTTGTTCTGAGGTGTAACCCTGTGAGGTAGATTACTTTTAAAAGAAGATAATGATCGATTGATTGGTTGTTTTCTTAGTGTCCTGGATGGCTGTAGGGAAATTTAGGATTCTCAAATCTTACTAGAATTACGTTCCATTGTTTTTGTCTATACAGCGATTATTATTATTATTTAAAAAATTAAAATGTAAGTGTTATCAGCCCTAGCTGCAATCTGAAGTGACATTCATACAGATATAAACCTAGCTGCCCTATGAGGCAAATATTTCTTTGAATGAGTATTTTAAAGAAGAAAATCTTCAAAATGCTCAGAAGAATCTACCAACGTCCTTATCTTTACGGAGTATTTGCCAAAGGCTGAAGATTATATTTCTTCACTTCCACTTCCTGTGTATCTTTCGCAGCTGCATAGCAGGCTGAAATTCAACAGGGATGGCTTTCAGCAACAAAAGGACTTGCAACCAAAATTTCCTTTAATGTGCATTCTGCCAAATCCCTGATTCTCTAGCCATGCCGTCCTACAATATAAAGGGGGGGGGGGGCTGCAAAGATTCTGCCTGTAGTACTTTTATGACTTACATCATAAACACAGTACAGAGCCTAGCTGATTATGGCTGTGGTGGATTTGGGTGGAAAGATATTATCCATTTCATCCCAATATTAGACTGGCCTTCAGGAAATGAAAAAAGCGAGCTGGCTTCCTCCTTCACCGTGCCAGTTTTTGATGGTTTTGCAAGTAGCAGAGAATGAAAATTTAAGATGGTGTTTTTATTGTAGACGCTAGGAGTCAAAAATGATGGCACATAATGCCTCAAAGGTGCTTTTTTTCGAGGGGCAACTGGAGTTTCTAGTTTTTCGTTGAAGGTGTTGCACTTCTCATCCAAGAAGCTTTGCTTCAAGCTGAAGAAGTTTCTTGGATGAGAAGCCAAACATCTTAAAAAAAAAGTCCAGTTGCCTCTTGAAAAAAGCACCGTTGGGACAACCATGACCTGGATGACGGAGAATCTCCATAGACAATGGCACATAATCAGTGATTCTTTAGAACACTAGCTCTTTTAGTAACCTTAACTTGCTTTTCTCATTGACCAATGAATGCAGTATACTTCCTTGCAAAAACCATGCCGTATTAAAAAGCCCTCAGAGGTTTTTGTGGCAATTCAGAGTTGGCCGAGAGAAACTTCTGAACTCATAGATCCAGAATGACAGAATAACAGAGTCGGAAGGGACCTTGGAGATCTTCTAGTCCAACCCCCTGCTCAGGCAGGAAACCCAATACCATTTCAGACAAATGATTGTCCAATCTCTTCTTAAAAACCTCCAGTACTGGAGCACCCACTATTCATTTTTGTGTGTGTCTAGATTGGTGAGTTCAAACACGAAATGCCCTCTTCAGCTTCTATCAGATTCGTGGACAAACATACGGTTATAAATCTGAAAATCCAGAGTTGAACCCCCATTTAGTAAAAGCAACCTTAACGTTTTGGGAACAAGGGGAAGTGGAGCTAAAAGGAAATTGATATATGTTTAGAACCTTACTTACTTGGATAAAAGTTTAAAAACCCCTGAGAATTCGGAGGGAGGTTTTAAAAAAATGCACATAAGACTAACCAAGTATTTTTGGGTCTGCACAGCCTTTGTACAGCTGATCTAGGAAGTTGTGAACCACAACCCAATCAATCTGCCATGCTTAGGTAAAAGTTTTGGAGCAAAATAAGACACCAAGGGCAAACATTTTTTTAAAAAGCCTAAGAAAATATGTCTCTTAAAAGACGTTGCTCTCTTAGGCATCATTGTATCTGGATATTTTCTTCACATCATTTAACTTTGTTTCTAGTTATATACTCCCTGATATGCGATGCTGTTGAGAGTGATCTGTTTCAAAAGTAGTATTATGGTAATTATTGAATTATTCGCTACTTCATTGAATTCAGAAAACATCTTGGCACTTAAAAGATGCCCCAATGATGTTTATCCAAAATCATTTCTGGAGCAGTAATTCCACAACAAGAGTATTCTCAATTGATGCCCATCCAGTCCTGCTAAAAATCTAGAAAAGGGAGAGGGCACCTCCAGACCCCATTCATGCCATTGCCAAACAACTTACAGCTTTAGGAGCAAATGATTCTTTTCTTGTAATTTGGTACTAACCTCTAGGGCCAGGTTGAAAGAAAAGGGCATCGGTGGCTCTCCTGAAGTTTATTAGCACATTTTTTCCTTTGTTTTTGGCTACTCAGTTTACCTTTTGCCTTTTTTTTATGAGGGAATGTTTGGAATTACTTATTTTGCCTCTTTAAAAAACTCTTACCTTGCTCCATGCCACCCCACCCTAAATCCGAGCCATTTTTAATTTCTTTCTACTTTCAAATTTGACACGTTGCACAAAGCCTATGTGGTTTCTAGCAGATGGAAATAATTAATCCTTGTACTGCGGTGATAAAAAGCCAATTTGTCCCCTTCAT